ACAGACAGAGATGCAGTTACATTTAGTGCATTGTAAAAAAAATAGGACCGGCCGCCCTGTGCTCTCTCTCTCTCTCTCTCTCTCTCTCTCGCTCTCTCTCGCTCTCTCTCAGCAGTGTGTGAGGGAGGTTTATCGATTTCAGAGCTCTGCTGGGCCAAAAACACCAAAACACATTACACAATGCCTCTGTGTGCTATTTTGATCCAAACTCCTTCTGATAAAAGGTTTGCGTTTTGGTGTCGGTCGACGGTGACAGACATCATTCACGACCAAAGCTAAAAAAAATTAAAAAATTAAAAAAACAAACATGTAGGGGTGCAAGAAAATATCGCGATATATTGAAATATTGCGATATCTCAACGCATCGGTATTAATCAACGATTCACATAAAGGCATTGGTTCATTTTATTTTGCTCATATTTCTAGCGATTACAAATGTCGATCGCTCTGTTCCGATGCTATACAGTATCGCAATATATCATATATTGCGATACTGTATCATATCGCCAGATTCTTGACGATACGCAGCGCCGCTGTACGAACACGTGACTTCCACCGATGCAGTAATGATGCACTGTTGCTGTGACAGATTTTCCAAAGCCGAGCCAAGGTACAGGATGTGCCTGGTCTGGTCTGGTCTAAACAGGAAGTCCATTCATCAGGGATGACAGCACGGGACGCAAATATACTCCCATGTGTGCAGAGTAAAAAAAATGGGATGCAGAGCGTCCGCGCCGCAGTGACACGGCGCTGTCAATGGACCGGGCCTGGACGGACACTTACGGCCGCGGCTGAAATACGGCCGCAGTAACGACCGACCTATTGATGAAGGAGTTCATCAGTCCTGACAGTTATTGCTGGAGTCGGGCCTCGGAATCTGACCTCTTGACCCTGGAGCCCAGAAGATAACAGTGTCGTCTTAATGTCTTAAATCAGTCGGATGGTATCGTACAACAACGGTCGGCCGGTATCAGCCATCGTCTAAGGATGATTACATTTTCAAAATTAAACCTCTTTCAGACTTTCTTCTGTTAGCACCAGAGTCCGAATGACCTTTGACCTGTTGTTCTGAAACAGTAAAGGGACATGATTGGATTATTTTGGAACGACGTAAATGAGTAAAAACTGAAGTAGATTTTTTTTCCACTGTGTCCCGGTACCAAATGACCTACGGACCAGCACCGGTCCCCGAACCAGAGATTTGGGGACGCCTGCCGTAGAGTGTAGAAGCACCTTAACTTTTATCATTGCAGGTCAAAATGAATACAAATATTAGCTTTGTTAGCATTTTAACCGCGCCTGTGTTAAATCTGTTTTTGGTCGCCCTCTGTTGGCACCAAGAAAATAAACAACATATTTGCTAAAAAAAAATGGATTCCTCTTGGCTGGAAGAACATTTAAAGCCGGTCTTATTATCTCCTTTAGGCTCGCGCCATTGGCCACATGGTGGAGCAGTGATTTACACTGGTGCCTCAGACCAGCGAAAATGTCACTGGTTTTCATTCAGCGACCTAAAAACTGTGACAGTGTGGAGAAAACATGTCGTCCTGCTGTGCTGCCGGGAATTCATTTCGTACGTCAGCTGCAGCCCACGGTCCCTGAACGTGCAGATCAGGGGTCAAGTTGACTAACGACTCCAGACCGACCGCTGGGAACGCTCTACGCAACCTGTTCTGGGACAAACCGGAAGATTCATCTCCGCAGGAAATGAGTCAGACTTTTTTAAAATTCATTTAAAATGAAAATGTAAAATATATATATGAAACAATACGACCTGAAAAGTCCAACAAAGTCCAAGTCCCCGCTCAGGCTGATTAGAGGTTGACTGTCGTCATGGTTCACTGTGTGGAGTCTAATGAGAAAATTGAGTTCCAGCTGAGAGATGACATCTACAGTGGAGTCAGTGTCAGTACTGGACTGTTCTGTCTGTACTGCTGCAAACCAACAAACCAACAAACATGTAACTGAAATGTCACAAAAAAAAGAAGAATAGATTTCTGGAGCTAAAGTTTTACCAAAACAGAATTTAAAGAATAAGCTGGAAAAAAAATCAACATGTAATTGAAATGTCACAAAAAAAAAGAAGAGATTTCTGGAGCTAAAGTTTTACCAAATCATCTGCAGCCGGCTGTCGATCACATGGACTTTTTTCAAATTGGTGATTTTTTTTTTAAGAAAATGTTTTCTAACAAATTAAAACCCAAATTATAAAAAAAAAATCAGGTTCTAATTGAGAGGAATCCTGAAAAAGAACAGTTTATGGATTTCACACAACAAGACAGAATTTGTTCCATTTTTCTAGATATTTACAATAAAATCAGGACGGTGAGAAAAATCTGAGTCGTTTCCCTCCAGATACCAACCCGACCCAAGAGGACGAGCAGTGGAAAATGAAGGAGTCAATAACGACCCAGGACCAACTGCCAAAACGTCTAAAAACGCAATAATACTCGAAAATGTTACAGCGAAAAAAAAAAAATCTGTTATTTCTGCTGAAAAACAAAATGATTTACTTTAAACTTTTTTTTAAAGTTTTCAGTCAAACATTTCAGAGTAGGTTTACGAGGCTCTGGTACCGGTTACAACGGTGGGTAAAAAACAAGCATGTGTGTGTGTGTGTGTGTCAGGACAAACAGGGGAGAAGAGGACGTTCTTTCAAAAATCCGTCTCCACAGATGAATGCGTTCATTTTCAAAATGATGTGAACAGTGGAGTTAACGCAGAAGAGACATTTTTAAATCTCGCCAAAGAAACGAAAGATTGATGACATTGAACAGACGATTGAATGAACTGTAAAGTCTATAACCATTTTCAACTGGACCGAAAAAAAAAAAAACGTATAACAAACGTCCGTGACTCGTTCCATTTGTTATTCACAAAGCTAACGCTCGTTCGAGATATTTTTGGTCAATTATTTTATATGAAGTTTGACAATCGGATCAAAGACGTTTATTAAAGAAGAAAGTACGAAGAAAAGTTGTTTAATAAAATAACAAATGTACCACAGGTCAACCATTTGAAAGAGCTTTTTGTTGATGTACTACATTATTCGTTAATTCCTAGGAAAAACGATGCGAGACGACCCCAAAAAAAAAAAATCTCTTGCGACCCCCCTGAGGGTCACGACCTGATCTAAATCATACTGTCCTATTATGTTACAAAAAAAAAACAAAAAAACAATCTGACAGCATTTGACCTGATTTTGTGACAAAGATTCTCCGCCAAGAGGAAGGAGTTTGATGACGGCGCTGCTATGACCCACAGCGTCCTGGCCCACAGTGTCCTGGCCCACAGCGTCCACGACCCACAGCGTCCTGACCCACAGCGTCCTGGCCCACCG